CAACTCACAACCTGCAGAGAGCAAGCTTTTCTCTCTATCTTGCAAAACTCAGACTCGTGCACTGTTCATCTTCTTCTCCAATTTGTTTTTCTGGCAGCTGCCAGAAGAACTCTGCCTTTCTTTTTCCTTTTTCCCTAGTCGAATTCCTCACAAAACACCTCATTCCTTACTTAAACACTTTCTTTTCTCATAAACCAAGCCTAATTTCTCTCTTAGTGCTAAACCCATGTTGATTTTGCTCCCATGCCACATGCCACTCATGCTGAGCTGAAAAGACTATCTGTAAGCATGCCAAAACTATCTGCAAGTTACCATTATTCTCGTTGGTGAAGATAACCAAAATACTTCCTAAGGCTCTACTGCCTTTTCGAGGTATTTTGGGGCTTAATTTTCGAACTCAGGCTCAATGGGCAATTTCTTCCATTTTGCCCTTTACGGCAGTCAGGCCCGTAGTAGCTGCCGGAAGAAAAAAGCCCCTACAGATACCTGATCGTAGGGTCTTCAAAAGTGAGGTATGAATTTGTAACGACCCTTATAGGTTGGGGGGTTTTATATAGTTGATTCAATAATATATTATGTATGTTCAAAGTGAGACGATACAACTTTTGTCTTTGAAGAGTTGCAATTTTTGACTCTTCAGAAATATACACATCTTTTCAAATAGTCACTTGCACATTTATAGAGAAGCTACTGCATCTACATCTCACTTGGAGATATAATTCAATTCAATTCATTCAAAGCATTTATTAGTCACTTGCGTTATAGTAGGGAGTTGTTAGCATGAGAGAATGTTCAATATAATCGTGGTTAGTTAGGTTCTTATGATTTGTAGTGTTACAATCATAAGCGTGTGGTTGTTGCATCTTGGGAGACAAGTGTCGTTCAACCCTTGAGTACTGAAATGGGACTTAAATTGTCTTAAAGACAAAATGCCAAGCATTTGCCTCGACTAATTTTTCAGGTATTTCTAATCTAATTTATATGTATATTCAGCTTTGGTGTTGTTCATGTTATATATATATATTAAATTTGTATATTTAATTGCATGTTTATTTCTAAATTTCTTTGTTTACAATATGCACTCAGACCCTTTATTTCCTACATTAACTGGGCAAAGGAAAAAGTAAAAAACTTAAAGTAACGACATGAAGAAATTCCCAGCTAAACAGCGAGTCACATTTTTTATTTTTCATTTGATCCGGCAGACCCAAAGAAAAGAAAAAAACTGTAGATAAAAAGAAAATAAAATAAAAGGGCAGCCAGCCACGACCCAAAAAGATCTGGGGCCTTGTGTAAAATTACGAGAATACCCTTTTCCCTATTTATGCCGTGGAGTGGAGCTATAAATAGCGGATACGTAAGCAGAAATTAGGTAAATTCCTTGGTTGGCACGAAGGCTTGGTTTTCTCTCATCGCACAGATCAGAATTCGGTGGGTTTTAGGCAAAGTCGGTTTTACATAACAGAAACTCTGGATTCCACCTCTTCCCGTCCTTGGCGACGGTGGTTATGCCGCTTGGCTTTCAGGTTCGTTTCCTTTTCTTCGGATCTGATTCCTCACGCCTTTTCATTATTTTTTAAAGTTTTGTGTTTTTTTGCAATTCGATTTTATTCGATTTGTTTTGGCTGAATTTATTTTATTCTCTTTGTTTTGTATATCGATTTTATTCAATTTGTTAGTTGGGATTTTTTTAGAATTAGGGTTAGTTCTTCATGTATTCGTCTTGATGTGTTTCTTCGATTTCGGTTGAAATTTTGTTTGGTTACCGAAAAACTGTGGGAAAGGCTTCAGGATTTGACAATTTGGGGCTCTGTCTTATTAGATTTTCTTCGTCTGTGTTACTGAGGTTTGGTAAAAAATTTATGATCTGGAATTGCTTCTCTGGGATAATGTAATTTCTGGATTTAATTTGGTCATTGATTTGCATTACTTTTATTACTCTTAACTCGATTTTGGTTATTGGAGGCTTTTTGTTTATTTAATTATTTTTATATCAGCGATTGATTGTAATCTCTTTAAGTCTTTATTATATAAATTGGTAATGTTGTATAATTTTTGCCTCTTGATATTTAAGAGAGGTTATAGCGTAGTTAATACTTGGTTTCGTTTGCATGTGAGTGTAGTGCAACTAAGTGTTGGTTTTGTATGGATGTAAGTCTGAACTGTAATTTTCTACGGCTCAAAGTATTCTGCAACAATATTTGTTTTGTACACTCTAAAAATTCTGACGTCATATTTATAATACGCCTGCTTCTGGTTTTTAATGCTGGAATTTGCATCATTATGTGCCCAAATTATGTGAGATTCAGTTTGAGTGGCCATTATATTCAGTAATGGATTCCTTTTATCATGTCTGCGTGATTCATCTGATGTGCGGTTACTTGTTGTAATCTAAATTTCAGGTTGTGCCGGGCTTGGATCTAAAGAGCTTTGACATATTTCTGAAGACATGGAGCAGATGCGCTTCTGGTCAAATTGCCACCAGTACCGGGTCTTTTCTTTCCAGGAAGTGCTTGACTGGAGATTTTCTTCTGGTTTCCTTTGTTAATTGCACTTAGTGGTCAGTTTCTCTTAAATGATCAATACGGAAGACGTGATGCTAGTTACTTCTGAGTCAGGTGTTGGATCTTTAGTGCATAGCGCATTGTTGATACAACATCGAGTTGAAATTTCCGTGAAAACTTCTTCAGGGGTACAGTATACATTTCTCACATAAAATGTTATGCATCTACTTATTATCCAATGCCTGCTTAATATGCCTAAACTTTGTTCTCTGTTTCTTATGACAGGGCTAAAGTCTAGCAATCTGTGACTGAAGATCTCTACATAGTTAATATTAGATAATCAGTTACGTCAACCCAAACCAGTGCAGACTGTTTATTTCATAGTTATTATTTCATCGTTACTCCTGATGGTTTCTATGAAAAGTGGCAAGATATTGATTAGCTAAAGATTCCACACTGATTTCTACTTAGTTTAGATGAGATAGCAGTTTTCGTTTATTGAGCCTTGGGTGACACTATCTTGAGCTTGGAGTCTTTCTTCTGCGGGATAAATCATTCTGGTTGGTTTTTCAATTGGTGTCGATATGTCCTGTGGTGCTTGCCCTTTTTTGCCATCTATGTCATGCTCTAGTCCGCAAGCTGTGGAGTTAGTAATGAATAAGGCTGTGCAGCCCATCCATCATAAGATTTCTGGTCTTGTGCTTGTGCGTGTTGCCTCATAAAATTAATGGTTTGATTCTGCTGGACGAGCAAGGCAGTTGTTTATATCCTACAGTGTATTTTAAGGATCATCTTCTGAAGATAAATTCCCATTTATCTTTTACGAGTCTTTATGCTTTCACTGAATAAAGAAAGAGCTGCTTTGTGTTCCACAGGAAGAATGGAGAGGTAAGGTTGTTTACTGTGCGACTTCCCTTAATGTTTATTTTTTTATGTTGATACAATATGTAAATTTGTGGTTACTCTAGGTACAAGTTAATAAAGGAAGTTGGAGATGGCACATTTGGGAGTGTCTGGCGTGCTATTAATAAGCAGACTGGTGAAGTTGTAAGTGTGTTTTTCATTTTCTTAAGACTTCAGTTTATGATTTATAGTTTTAAATTTTGTTCTGATTATAATCAATGAAACAATTTTACAGGTTGCAATTAAAAAGATGAAGAAAAGATATTATTCATGGGAGGAGTGTGTAAGTCTACGAGAGGTTAAGGTAGTTCAACTTACTGTAACCTCTTTAGATATCTTGCTTTACCGTGCATTTTCAAATTATATCATGGACTTTTACTTTATGCAGTCATTGCGTAGAATGAATCATCTGAATATTGTGAAGCTTAAGGAAGTCATCAGAGAAAGTGACATCTTGTACTTTGTGTTTGAATACATGGTAAGTTATATTAACACAAACTTGCAAATATTTTCTACGACTTTTGTTGGCGAGTGTTGTTGCTTATTCTCATATGGGCATTGCAGGAGTACAACTTGTACCAACTTATAAAAGATAAGGAAAAGCTTTTCCCAGAAGCTGACATCAGAAATTGGTGTTTTCAAGTTTTTCAAGGCCTTGCTTACATGCATCAGCGTGGATATTTCCATCGTGACCTTAAGCCAGGTAATTGATGCAATTTTAATGCACGACTTTAGTTGAGTAATTAAAAGGTTCGAAGAGAATTTGAAGGGCTTAAGCATCTATGCTAATGAACATTCTTGTTTTTTTGTTTTTTTGTTTTTTGTTTTTGTTTGTTTTTTTTTTTTTTGAGATGGAAACATGTGTACCTCGTCAATATTTTGTTGAAGAATCAATCTTAGTTGCTTATTGTGGGTTTGGGTTTGTTTCTTTTTTAGTCTCAGTTTTCTTTCATTTTAAAGCAGATTGATCTTTGCTAAGGCTGCAATGATCGTGTGGAATCCTTGATTTATTAGTGTACAATTTCCCCTTTGTTATACT